AACTGAAAAATGAGGTAAGAGGACAATATGCTTGCAGTATTTGTCTATAGCGATTAGAGAAGTTTATGTTTCTTTATAATTGTGGTTTATCTAACAGAGTATCCTTTACATGTGCAGAAGCAGGCACCGAAGAATGTTTCCGGCACACTGAAGGAAGATATTTGGCATCATCCTTCACCCATATGCTTTGAGAAACATTATAGGGAGTACATGGTTGCTTCCTTACCTCGTTTAGCTGTTTTAGATACTCTGCCGATCACAGAGAAGGAGAGGGAAACTTCGAAGACCATCGTTTCAGACTTCTATGAGTACTTGCCATACAAACATAACCACAAAAAAAGTGTTGTCAACATTTTGCAGAAGCGTGAAATGGGAGCAAGTGGTATTTACGGTTGGAACTCTTCAAAACTGAAGCAGCCTTATTGTTATGGTAAGAGCCAATGTTTCTTCTCAAGGTCACTTAGTGCTGCTAGATTCGGTTCTTCTACGTGGCCCTTCTTACATCCTGTACCCAGCTTTAGCCATATATCTAAAGGGGAAAATAAGCGGCTTCGTCCGAGGCAATTTGAGTACCATCCTGCCAACTCCAGCCTGATGGCTTTGGGAACTTTAGATGGTGAAATAGTCGTTATCAATCATGAGACTGGGAATCTTGTCGGTTATAATTCATCTGTAGGAATGATTAACAGTGTTCTAGGACTCTGCTGGCTCAAGAAATATCCATCCAAGGTATTTTCTGATTATGTATTTTTTATCTATAGTTCCTAATTATACAAGTGCCCCATTTTTCCAGTCTGAATTAAATTTGTTTCTAAGAAGCATTTTGTATTTTATAGTATAATATTGTGAATATCACTACATAAATGAGTTGAATTAGATAGTAGTTAATCGCTTAATCTTATATTCATTCAAGCAACAACCATGAGCATTATAAAAGAATAGCTTGTTATATATTGAACTGATCTATTTTACTTCTAACTTTAGCCATCACTGATTTTTCTGTGTTGAACAATCAGCTTGTAGCTGGATTCGACAGCGGTTGCTTGAAGTTGTTTGATGTTAATCATATGCTGGCCAGACTAGGAGATGCATCTTGTGGTTCTGATAAAGTTAATTTTGAAGATTTCAAACAATTAACTTCTGTTCATGTCAATGCAACAGACGAGGAATTCCTTGCCAGTGGGTACTCAAAAGGCGTTGCTCTATATGACATTAGCACCGGGAGACGTTTACAAGTGTTTACTAATATGCATCGAGAAGCTATTAATGTCGCTAAATTTGCTCATCACTCTCCTTTTATGTTTGCTACATCTTCATTTGACAAAGATGTGAAGATGTGGGACTTGAGGGAGAGACCCGATAACCCTTGCTATACTGCTTCAAGCTCCCGAGGAAATGTTATGGTTTGATTTTCACCTGATGATCTCTATCTCCTCGTTTCAGCCATTGATAATGAGGTAAATAGTTCTGTCTTAACTGTTGCTTTATACTATAGACTGCACCTATTTGAGAGAACTTGTAATATTTTTCTACGATGATGAGCTTTGTTGTGCTTGAAAAGGATTAAAAGACTAACAAAACCTGTCTGGTTTGTTCATCGGTGGTATTGGGTATTTTATCATTAGTTTCTTAATGGTCTCATTCAGGTTAAGCAACTTTTGGCAGTAGACGGAAGGCTCCATATGAATTTCAACATAACTTCAACTGGAAGTTCTCATAACTATACTCGTTCATATTTCATGAATTGAGGAGATTATATCATTAGTGGCAGTAGCGACGAACATGTTGTTCGCATATGCTGCGCTTAAACGGGAAGGCGACTTAGGGATGTCTATATTGAGGTACATTGTCAAATACCCGTGCTTAAACCCTAAACCACTAATTAGCATCCACAATTTTAATGATCAAACCCCTAGCAACTTCCTTTGACGTGTTAGCAACTGAAGATTCGAGGTATTTCTCGTTAATGTGTAGGGTATGGATTCAGGAAATTCTATCTTTGTGCAGTCCTTAAGGGCTGATCCTTTCAGGGTAAGCCTTTTTCCTTTAATTCCATTCTTCTGCAGATATGATGGATAGCTTTTACAAACCATTTCCTCTGCTTTACAAGCCAACTATTTGTAGTCTTTTAAACATTTTGCTTGAGCCAAATACCTTTCTCTGAAAGTTTGGAATATATATATATATATAAACAGGTCATGAAGGCATTATAGATTGTAAATTAAATTAAATTAGCTACCCTTATTCCCATATGTAATGGGGTAACGGGGAGGTAAGATACTAGGCTGCTCCCAACGCCAGGTTAAGAGCAGCTTCCGTAGGAGACCTCCGAATTATTAAATGCCCTCCGTTGGACTCGTTCCCACGACCCCAAGGTATAGGTTATAAAATGTTATAAAACGTTGAAGCAGTTCATGATGTTATAAAATGTTCTTTGATGAAATCTAACCCTTCTTTCTTTGGAGCAGCCTTTTAACTTCAGTGTCTTGTCGACCTCTATGCGACCCACGTCGAAGCAGGAGATCATCAAGGCATAGGTTTTACATCGCTTTGCTTTCGCAGTAATTGCAATAAAGTTCATCAGGCCAGGTTTGGCTGATTGTTGTGCCCTATTGTAGGTCAATTTGCTTGCCTCTAGTCACTATGCGGATGAAATCTTCCCATGATCAAAGGTATTTGTTCTTACAGTGGTCTTGGAGTTTAATCTTGGTATCTCCATCAAGATATCTATGATTCTATGTATACAAAAAGAGACTTCTGAGTTGACCTCTATGCATATGTTAAGTTTAAAAAGGTGTAAAAGTAAAAAAAAAAAAAAACAAGGTAAACTTTGTATATATATATATATTTTTATCACTGAAGCATGGTTTTATTGAATGGGATGTGTTGAATTTATACAACAAATTGCAACAAAAGAATTAAAAATGTAGAAAATTTACCATGTTTTTTAAGGATGATGTTACTTTAAAAGGGCAAACACCAACGGTTTACAAATGAATAATCTTCCAGACACAAATTATGCAGTTGCAGCTACTCGAACATATTTTTTTTATTAGTCTAGGATGATTACGAGTGGTGATATCTGTTCTAAAGACTATCAGTCATTTGACAATGAACGTTTAAATATCCTGCAGTCGTTGGTGCTCGAATCTGGGATCTCTAAGATACACATATATAAAGGTCCTTTCCATTGCTTAAAATAAATTTCTTAATAAATGACCGAACCAGCATGGTCCAGCTTGCATAATTTATTATTGTATTCCTTTCACCCTAACGGGAGACATTTGCTTCAGTAGTCCTCAATGCTCTCTTCGGTTGACTTATGGAGGCTTCTGGATTTATTAAGTCAAGCTAGGTGAAGCTGAAGCTTTGTAAACAAGAGGAGTGGAAAGAAAAAAAATAGTAAATTACACGATAATCACTGTATTATGAGTATATTTATAATTGGATCATTGTATTTCAAAAAGTCACAAGCTAGGATTAATTTCATTTAGGAAAGAGCTAAATTTATCCTTTTTTTTTATTTAGGTGTATCACGTCATCAAGGAAATAAGAGTTAATGGTTCGATGATTAAATTGATAACATAAATGATTAAAGCATAACTTTTAAAAGTTCAACAATGACAATTGAACAAAACTAGAACAAAAGTGACTTATACGATAATTTTACTTTTTAATTTACTAATAATAAAAGTTAAATATTTATGTTTTATATAAAAGTAGAAGTCAATTCAATGATGTCAAATTGTATATTATCCTAAATGATAATTAAATGATGTGAAATCTATGGGTTTTTTTTTGGTTCTTTGAATCATTCACCAATACTGAATACACTATATAAGAAACGTTGCTTGCAAGCCAGCTAAGTGTTCAATTAACCTAGATTTTCAGGTTAAACAACTTTGTAAAAATTCTAAAAAGGAAGAGCCCAACCTAGATTAACCCAGTTCTGAATATTCTTATCTGAAGAGATCCAAGAATAAAGCTAAACGAGGTTGGTTCATGGATATTTCCAGTCAAACAAGGTTAATTAATCTTAAAACACACATTAATGTAATTTACAGTGTTAGTTTTATGATTTTTTAAATAAGAAAGTGTTTCTAGCTCGGTGTATATACGTATTTTTTTATTATCACTTGTTTTTTTTTTGCACATGAATCACAACTATAAATACCTCGGCAAAACCTCACGAAGTCCATCAGCAATAAACAGTCCTACCACAGGCCACCATCACAAAGATGAAGCTTTTACTTGCAACTTCGTTGTTCTTGTTACTGTTCTTGTCATCATCATTTGTCCAACTCTCATTTGCCAAACCCGGACCGCCTGCCCCAGCCACCGTCCCTTCGCTGTCTCGTTCTCCACCTCCTCTCAGTAATGTCTTTTTTACTTGGCATTCATGCATTTGATATAAGCGCTGTTATCTTTTAGAGTGTTAAATATAATCATATGATTAATATAGGGCATCCTTGTTTTGTTTTCATGAGACTAACGGGATTTTTATCTTTACTTGGTAATAGGTTTCTGCGATAGAAAGTGTGGGGAGAGATGTGCAGAGGCAGGAGTGAAAGATCGGTGCTTGAAGTATTGTGGGATATGCTGTGCCACGACTGTAAGTGTGTTCCTTCAGGTACTTTCGGGAACAAGTCCGAATGCCCTTGCTATCGAGACAAGTTGAACTCTAAGGACATCCTAAGTGCCCTTAATATTCCCACTTTCCGTTTAGACTTTCAGTGTGTTCGGTCCTCTGAGATCCACCCACCAACAATAATAATATGTATGTATGAAATAAAGTGTACTCTGTAAAACAAATTGCATTGCATCTTATTTCCCAACTACAATTATAATAAGAAGATTCTCCCCTTTTTCTTGTGAAAGATTTCATTGGTAGATTACTAGAACTGTACAGTAATATAATGATCCACACTCTTCAAAACTAAATGTGAAATTCCAAATCATAAGCCATAACAACAAATTGATTGAGACTTGGGATGAGTAGATGACCCATAAAGAAACTGATATCCACCATACAGAATGTCAAACTTTGAATCCGATCAAGATGGTAAGGGCACGTATGGACTGCCCTTGAAATATGAAAGAAGAAGATAAGAGAACGGACACCAAGCATGTACATAGAGATGAAACTAGGGCTGGAGAAGTCTAACAATGCTCTTCCAGAAGTTTGCTTTGAACATGTACGGATACAATATTCCAACTTAAGATTTAGTTATCCCGAGGATTTCCGGCTCCACCAGCCAGTGCCTGATTTTCGTTTCCCCCTCTTCCTTTTGTAATCAGGGACCTTGGATGACGAAGATACATCTGCGTCTGGTTGAACAGAAGGGTTTGCAGTGAGGTCATCTACAGGAGCAAGAACAGTAGGCTTTTTGGTAGGCATTGGCGGCTTTTTGGTGCCTGACTTTTGTTTCCTCCACTTCCTTTTGTTATTAGGGACCTTGGATTTGGACAGAGAAGAAAGCTTCATATCTGGTTGAACAGAAGGGTTTGCTGGGAGGTCATGTCCAGGAGCAAGAAGAGTAGGCTTTTCAGTTGGCATCAGTGGCTCCTCGGTGCCTGATTTTCGTCTCCCCATCTTCCTTTTGTTTTTAGGGATCTTGGATCCGGACATTGAAGGTACCTTCACATCTGGTTGAACAGAAGGGTTTGCAGGGAGGTCATCTCCTAGAGCAATAACAGTAGGTTTTTCAGTAGGCATCAGTGGCTCATTTGTGACTGATTTTCGTTTCCCCATTTTACTTTTGTTATTAGGGATCTTGGACTCTGACGTCAAAGATACCTTCTCATCCGGTTGAACAGAAGGGTTCGCAGATAGGTCATCTCCCGGAGCAAGAACAGCAGGCTTTTCAGTTGGCATCGGCGGATCCTCAGTGCCTGATTTTCGTTTCTCCATATTCCTTCTGTTATTACTGATCACAGACTCAGACGTCAAAGATAGTTTCACATCTGGTTGAGCAGAAGGATTGGCAAGAAGGTCATCTCCAGGAGCAAGAACAGTAGGCTTTTCGGTTGGCATCGGTGGATCCTCAGTGCCTGATTCTCGTTTCTCCATATTCCTTCTGTTATTATTGATCTCGGACTCAGACGTCAAAGATACCTTCACATCTGGTTGAACAGAAGGGTTGGCAAGGAGGTCATCTCCAGGAGCAACAACAGTAGGCTTTTTGGTTGGCGGCGGAAGCTCCTCTGTCGGTTTTGTTAAACCACTTTGAAAATTATACAACTCTTCCTTGGCAGCCTGGTTATGTATCAAAATTTCATCCTCAGTCTGCAAATATAATGAAGAATAGTTGCATTACAAATGAAAACAAGATGGTTGAATACGCATATCTGGAAACTAATACTAGTTAATATTCACAACATTTATAAATCAATCAAAACCGAATCCTGATGACAAAAACCGAGGATAATAAAATAGTGTGGATGTTAACTGAACAAATAAAGTAGGAATTACAAGAGGCAGGGAAAAGCAAGGAAGATTTTTTTCTAGTTTCATATTATTATGTGCAACTGAAAAACCTTCTTTTCCTACCCAACGGTATTACCAGAAGCAAAGAACGAAACCTAAAATCAAATTACAAGTACAATCCTTTGTTATCTTCTGCTACAGCAGTAAGAAAAGCAAATGATAAAAACGTAAAAATTAAAGATGACAATAAATTTTACAGAAAAGATGGAAGAATTTTTTTTTATAAAAGTTGGAGGTCTTGTTAAAAACTCCCTTCGTATTCGTCCACATACTAAGAAGTATATTAACGAACATTGGAAGGAAGAAAATAGTACCTCATAGTTTATTGAATAGAACATCCAATACATATGAAAACACGGAATACCCTCATACGGGGATATACACCATTACAAAAAAAGAATAACCTAAAATTCTCACATCCTCAACCACAAAACCCCAAAGAAAATCACCCTAATTCTGAGTTACATCTCCAGCAAAAAGGAAAAAACAACGCAGAAGGACATAACAGAAAAGAAAACCAACACCTGCAACCATTATAACTAAATGTTCAAGAAGAATATATAAAAAAGAGATCTCACGTTGTCATAAGAAACTGCAGCAAGATTCTGAGCAGTTCCCTCAATCACATCAGGAAAAGGTGCAACCTCTCCATGATTTGAAACTGCACTACTTCCAGGCATAAATAGATCTCCCATGTTACCCCCCTGAGATGTAACTGGGATTCGCTCTCCACTCCCAGCAGGAGAAGAGCGACTTCTAGAACCAGATAAAGTGTTGCATGGCATAACTGAACTCAATACATTAATGGAAGAGAACTTTTGAGGACTTCCATTAACCACACTGTCAACTCGGGTCTTTAACGTGTGAACTTGAGATTGAATCAGATCAATCTTTCCAAGGATATTTTCTAACCAAATATCACTGTCTCTGAATTCAAGACCTGACAATCCATCACTAATTACAATGTCTTCATTGCTATTGACCGTTTTGTTTCCTAAAATAATCAAGAAAATGGACCAAGATACACATAAGAGAGAGTCAATTTTTGGAAACACAATCACATCTATTTGTTGGACCTTGCTCTATAACACCTATGAGCTACACAGTTGCAAAAACCGAGTCAAATGTAATTCTTACCTAACTTACCATTATCACCAACATGAGCAGAAGTAGCAACAACAAATTTCTTACTGTCTGGGAGCAAAGAGAATATACTTATCAGATTTGGACTTGTAAAATGCTTACCCCATAAAGAATGATGATGAAATTTGTAGTTTCATACCATAATATGAGAAAAGGTTATGGTTTGACATATAAGATGCTAAATCAGCAGTATCTTCAACTCGCTTCCTTTTCCTCCTACTCATTATTTTCTTTCTTTGAATTTGAAAAGGTTGCGACTTCACATTAAGCCCCTCAAATGTGAGTTTTTCATATTCAAATTTCTTTCTCTGATCATACTCTGCAAGTTGTTGATCATACTTCAATGTCTGAGATCTAAATTCCTTAAGTTGCAATTCTAACCATTTACACCGCCACATAATGGGACGAATAAACCTCCTCCAATGATCTGTCAACTTTCTCTTCCTGGAAAATTTAGGAAAAGAAAGCAAACTGAATAATGCAACATGTATTTGGACATCAAACTGGAATACACATTATAAACGGAAACATAGTTTTATTTTTTCACAATTGCCAGACAAAAAAGTGTAAAGAATAATTCTATCAGAAAGAGTCAATATAATTTTATGTGCATTCATGGTGGTGAATTTTTAGAAGCCAACAAATTAAGGTAAAATTTCATTAATTATCAAAAAAATAGCACAAAACAAAATAGTTCGAGCTACCAAAAATAACGTACCTTAATAGGAACAACCCATCAAACATTGATCCCAATGGATTCTCACTGCATAATGCCGAATCAACTTCAACGTCACTTATTGCCGAGTCATTCTCGGCCCCAGATACCGTGCCACCAAAAGAACTCGAATTCTCAGTGGTATCCTGACATTCAGCATTAGCCAAGCTATTCATGTCAGAGTTTGTACATTCAGTTATGTTAATCTCCATGTCCTCGGTTCCTTTGGGTATCGTTCCTTCTCCTACACCATTAAGAGTTCCCTCACCAAAGTTGTGGTCCTCACAATTGCTCACAGAATGCATAAACTTATCTTTCGAATCTTGGGACAAGCTTCCATTTCCATTACCATTTGAAACCATTTCCATCATTGTATTAGACTCGTTTTTTGGCTCCAATTCAGAGCCTATACTAATCATCATAAAGACCTCTTCAATTCACTAATAAGTCAACTTAATTAAAAAAAACTACCTTCAAAATTCATATCAAATTCAACATTACCATTTTAAATAAGCAAATTGAATTTTTAAAAGAAAGAGACTACAAGTAAATGCCCCATAATCAAAGCGCAAAACGTGAAAAGCTAAAAATAAACCCGAAAGAACGAATTTTCCAACTAACGATGAGTTAGAACACAAGGTTATCATAAAGGAAACACGAAATTTACGCATTGAAATCCACCTAAATCGCAAGACACAAAACCCTAAAACAGGGAGCAGAGAAGAGGAAAAAACCTAGCATTCGAGGTTATTAACATCTGGGGCTTGGATTGGTGAAGTGTTAGCGCCGCCGTTGGCAATTATCCGTTTGATGGATAGAAAGTTGAAATTCTAGGAAAGAAAAGGAAAGGAGAAATTGCAAGGGTGTGGGTGTAGCAGATGTTCGCTGTAGACTTGTTTCCCCAGTGGAAAGGGATTAATTAAAAGCAGATACTCCATTAGAAAAACAGGATATGAAAGATTCGTTATTTTGGGCCAAGTCCCTACATAATTCGTTTTATGTTCCCGAGTCCCTATCGAATCACCTCGTAACAAAAATGTAAAAAAATAATTATTAGTTTTGATCTATTTTAATATTTAAATTTTTATATTTTTTTAAAATTATATTTAACATTTAATTCTTATTTTAATCTAGTACCCGTTGTTAAAAATTTGACACATTTAATATTTAAACTATTAGTTTTGATTTGTTTTAGTACCTAAACTTTTATTTTTTTCCTTCAAAATTTAATGTTAAGTTTTTAACGGGTACTAAAATGAAACAAAACTTGAACGAGTTAACGTTAGATATTGTTTTAAAAAAAATAAAAGTTTACGTACTAAAATGTACGAATTGAAACTCTAAACCTTCGATCATAATATTTACCACCAAAACACCCACTCAAGTTACAGTAAGCTTCCTTTCAAAGCTTATCATGCTTAGCCTCCATCAAATTGAAATTAGGTAAACCTAACAACAAAAAACACAGCCATCTCTCTAACATTTGGTTTCTCTTAATCTTAGTAAGAAGGAAAATAAACAAAACCCAGATTTCACTATCTTAATGCTTGGTCTTAATAAAGCTTTTGTTTTCAAGTAACCTTTTTTATTTGGTGGATTTAGTTAAATCTATTATTTTGTGGTTTGCTGAGAAGTGGGACATCTGGATTCTGTTCATGAATGAATATTTTGGCTGGAATTTGGTGATTTCATCACCGGTAGCCACCCAAAGGAGCTTGTTTACCAGAATTGCTTCTTTTTTAATGATTGGCCAAAGGTAATTCTCCAACAAAAGTAAAAGATGTCCAGTCCATATATTTTTATTTATCCATTAAAAAAACACAAAATTTTATTTTAACATAATTTAACAATTGTGATAAAGGACGAATCAAGCGATCTCGGTGATTAAATGGATGATTGTTTTCCCTCAAGTCTCAAGTTCAAGCACAATATCTGCGAGAGTGTTTAGTGTTTAACATCAAAAGTTGCCTGCAAAGACAAGAAGCATATCTTACAATCATGAAATCAATCCGAATGTTTAACAGTGTAGGAAAAATAACGAGTCAAAAACATGATCAATGGGATGAAGATTATTCACTCATTCCATCCCCAAGCATGCTGCGAAGTTCAAACTCCAGATGAAGACACACGTGTAGGAAAATCTATTTCCAACATTCTCAATTTCTCCATATTCAAGAAGAGGGGGAAAAAGAGAGAAATATTCACAAGTGGACTCTCAATTAAATCTTCCACAAGTTATCCTTGTAAATCTGTAATTTCAAGCAGCAAAACTTGACCTGCATTATTTACATCAAATGTACATATAACAAACTGTATAGACCCAAAACTTTGAATGGTAGTGAAGGTTGTTTTCCAGACTTTCAGCCTCTTACAGCATATCCATGTTTAGTGTTTTGAAGGCGGCTAATAAGTGCTTGTGCCTGCAACAAACATCGGCTTTATGATGTTGTTCAATTTTCCGAAATTGAAGGAATTAGATTTTTTTTTTAAAAAAAAAACATTGTACCTTCTCTTTAGCTCTCGGGGTACCGGATTTGGACAATTCCACTAATGATGGAATAGCTCCTTCTTGCAGAACCAAATTGCAAAATCTAGGACTGCATATGCAGAGATGTAAAAGAGCAGCTGCAGCATTTTCCTTTCCTCTGGCAGATCCAACTTCAACAACCTCAACCAGAATGGGAATCCCACCATGTTGTTCAATTGCAGTCCTCCCTTCAGGAATTGTAGCAAGCTTTGCCAAAACAAATACTGCCTTATCAACCATTCCAGCTGTTGACTGCCAAAACAAATCCACAAGGTATCTTACAGCACCAGCCTGCACAATTCGGGCCTTATTTTCATGAAATCTTGACAGATTAAACAAGGCTGTCGCTGCATCTTTTTTCCCCCTAGGAGTACCATTCAACAGCAAATCAACCAAAGGCCTGATTGCCCCAGACCTTCCAATCTTGACTCTGTTATCCTCGATGACCGAAAGGCTGAAGAGAGTGGCAGCTGTGTTTTCTTTAGCAACAGGACTTCCTGTCTCAAGAACATGAATCAGAGGATCAATTGCATTTGCATTAGCAATATCTGTTTTGTTGCTATCAATATTTGATAAGTTAAGAAGTGATGTAACAGCATTTTCCTGAGTCTTTGTATCTGGTGAATGAAGCAAATCAACTAAAAAGCTAATTGCCCCGAAGTTCGTTATTATAATCCGATTATCCCTATTCTGCTTGGAAAGAAACCTGAGTTTAGCTGTGGCCTCCCTTTGAATATCAATTGATGTATTCTTCAAGTCCTCAACCAACTTTTTAACCCAACATGGATAGGGCGCATTTAAACTCATAAACTTCATTGGATCAGGTAACATCACATTGGTTGACTCACACCAGTTTGCAATTAGTGCCTTCACAGTGTAATTAGGTATAAAAGAGGTATGAGTCAACTTCTGTCGTGTCTTGGGGCACATAGTGAGCCCAAGATCAATCCATTGTTTGATGAAAGCACGCTCATAGGTTTTTCCTGATGCCACAATCACTGGATCAATCATTAGCTCTAGAGAAAGGGGGCAGATGAAATCAGAAGGTATGAGAACAGGGCTGCTGATCTGAGACTGTTTTATTAAGATAATGCGATGATGCATGCGAGTTACAAGAGCAATAAGCTTATCAATATACTCAACTTCTGCAGTTTTATCATCTTGTTCAGCATTCTCCTTCAACTTTTCAAGTGCCACAGCCTCTATCAGAATCTTCTGATTTGAATTCAAGTTCAATCTCTCAGCAATTATCACTAATATTTCTGCCCTTGGTCCAGAATTATCCAGTCGATCCCTTATGGCCTCCTCAATGACGGATGAAATTTGTTCATCTCCCACATGCTTAATTTTCTGCAAGCAGTGCTGTGATCAATCATACCAATTGTTAGACATCCTCAAATGGGGATACCTCTTCAAATCGAATCAAAAGGATATCTATATTTTCTCACAGCTTAAAACTTTATAGGTTAGATGTCATTGACCCTCCAAAAGATGACTTCTCATCTCAATAAATTCCTTTGGTAGCCATAGAAAGAACATGACAGTTATAAAAACAAAATTACAAGCTTTAACTTCGATGATTTTGGGTGGTAAATTACCTCAAGGGAAGCTGAACTCAATTCATAAGGAATATGTTGATTGGAAGACTTGAAAGGGAATATGTCCAAGCTAAAATTCCGAATCTTTGATATTAATGACTCAACTTGCAGAACCTAGACATAAAATGGAAAAGAAGGTGGTTACCAAAGCCTCCAAGGTGTTGGCTAATAGCTGCTTATAAGAAAATTCAATTCTTCTATGATATTGTTATCTAGAACACACACATCAGAGCAATTCTCACCTGAATATGATCAAACATTCAAGATTCAGGAAATAGGGCACAAATTTATCCCGAAAGCTACAAGTTCGAATAAGAAACATGATGAAATTATGTCTGTCCAAGTGGGCAGAACATACATCTGATTAGTTATTGCACAAACAATAACCAACAAGAAGCATCACGAAAGGAAGTACTAATGCTACCAAGAGTAACCGATCAAAGCTTCATCATATTAGGAGCTTTCCAATGCCAAAATGGTTAGTTTAGGTGCTTTTCTTAGCTACAACTAAAATAAAATTGCAAAATAAAGTAGCAAACTGAAAATATAAACCGTAACTTACAAAATAAACTTTACTGAAAAGGGGTTGCCAGCTTTCAAATTGCCCTCGCAGTTCTTCTACAGAGAGACTCAATTCTTCAGATGCCTTGGTAAGCACTTCATCAGAAGTAATTTTAGAATCGAAGATTTCTTCAAGAATTATGGGCTGCAACAACTTTAGTATCTCTTCTGTTTTCAGGTAGTACTTATGAACTGGTTCTGAGTTAACGTTCTCAAGAGATGACAAATTGAAAAATGAAGAAATGTTTCTAAGAAGTGTTTCTAACAAAGACTTCCTCGTGTGATCTGTTTCAAATATATATATATATATATATATATCAAGAAAGATCGCAAGTGAGAAAGAGCAGCAGCGGGTGGAAAACAGAAATAATAATAGGCAACTACAATGCACAACATGAAACATATGAAAATATGATTTATTTGTCCAAAAGATATAATCAATTCATCAGGATTTAGTCCCATGTGAGATATCAAACAAATAAACTAATGTTACTGCTTTGAGGTGACAAGATTTAGGCAAAAATTTCATAAGGTATAAGGTTTTAAAAACTTTTGGAATCATTATGATTTTGACCAATTCCAGCATGTCAGGAACTTCAAGGTGAAAATATTCTCTTAAAGTTCATGATACCATCCATTGACCATGTTACAGAAGATTTTATCTAGGTTATCATTTTGTCTTCCCATTCTTGATTATGTTTCAGAATTGGGGGGCAGAGGGGGGCCAGTTGTTTCCATGTAAAAGCCACCCTCCTATATGTCTATTCATATTCAGAAAAGGAAAGGAAAGAAAATGCAAAGAGACATCTCAGTATCATCATTGAGCATATAGGAAAGGAAAGAAAGGGTAGAAAAACAAAAGAAAGAATTAAAGGAAATGAGGCTCAATAAACCTCTAATAAAAATCTACATATAATTATTCAAATATAAATCATGAAATAAATGAATTGGAGAATGCTTTCAGCCAATCATCACTGATCGACAATGTATTAGGAAGGTCTCTCTCAATGAAGTGTACTGGATGTGATTAAGCTCTTACCAGATTGACTAGTAGACTGTGACTTGGGCGACATTTGATGGTTGCTTCTAGAATTTAGAAAACTATTTGAATCCTTTGGCAAGCCAGATGCTGCATGCACAAGAAGCGGACAGGGCTGATTCAAACTCGACTTCATCAGATCAGGCAGCTTCACATTGTTTACCTCACACCAGTTTACAATTAGCGCCTTTATTGTGTAATTAGGTACAAGATATGTATGAGACAACTTCTTTCGTGTCTTCGGGCACACAGTGAGCCCAACATCAAACCATTTCTTGATGAAAGTGCGCTCATAGGTTTGTCCTGATGCTACTATCACCGGATCAGTCATTGGCTCTAGGGAAAGGGGGCAGATGAAATCAGAAGGTATGAGGACTGTGCTGCTGGTCTGAGATTTTTTTGTTAACACCAAGTGATCATGCATGTGAATTACCAGAGCAATAAGTTGATCAATACACTCAACTTCTGCAGTTTTATCAGCTTTTTCAGCATTCTCCTTCAATTTTTCAAGGGCAACCACCTCTAGCAGAATCTCCTGGTTTGAATTCAAGCTTAAGCTCTCAGCAATTCTTACTAATACTTCTAAGCTTGGTCCAACACTGTCTGCTTGATATCTCATGGCTTCCTTAATGAGAGCTGATGCTTGTTCATCTCCTCCATGCTCAATTTCCTGCAAGTAGTGCTGCGATCAATCATACCATTGCCGCACCTCTTGAAATGTGGATACCTCTTTAGAGTTTAAAACCCCTTTAGCATTCTTTAAACTCATAAATCGAATTAACAGCATATCTATTACTTCCTCACATCTTAGAACTTTATAGGTTAGATGACATTCACCCTCCAATAGATGACCTCTCATCTTAGTAAAACTTTTGGTAATCATTGAGAGAATATAATAATTATGCTCTACTTATAAACACAGGAAAAAGTATAAGCTTTAACTTCAATGGTTTTGTGTAGTATATTACCTCAAGTGACGCTAAACTCAATTCATAAGGGAGATGTTGATTGGAAGACTTCAAAAACTTGAATATGTCCAAGCTAGAATTCTGAATCTTTGATATTAATGCCTCAACTTGGAGAACCTAGACATATAAAGAAAGAGAAAGCGGTTATCCAAGCCTCCAAGGTATTGAATAATAGTTGCTTAAATGAAAATTCGGTTCTTCTATGATATTATCATCTAGAAGACACCCATCAAATCAATTCTCCACCTGAATATGATAAAAAATTCAAGAATCGGGACTTAGTGGGGGCTAAATTTATTCTAAAAGCCACATGTTCTTGTAATTACTCTTGCATTAAACATGATAAAATTATGTCTGACCAAACAGGTAAAACATATATCTGATTTGTTATTGCACGAAAGGAAATACAATTGCTGCCAAGAATAACAGAGCAGAGCTTCATCATATCAGGAGTATGCCAAAGCCAAAAAAGTCAGTTTAGGTACTTTGCTTCTCGGCCCAGCTATAACTAAAACAAAATTTGTGTAGTAGCATAGCAAATAGAAAATTTAACTTGTAACTTACTAAGTAAACTCTACTCAAAATGGGTTGCCAGCTTTCAAATTGCTCTTGCAATTCTTCTATAAAGAGACCAAATTCTTCAAATGCCTTGCTAAACTCTTCATCAGAAGTAAATTTTGCATTAAGAATCATGGGCTTCAACAAGTTTAGCATCTCTTCTGCTCTCCGGTAGTACTTTCGAACTGGCTCTGAGTTAATGTTCTCAAAAGATGACAAATTTGAAAACGAGGAAATTTTTCTAAGAAGTGTTTCTAAGGAAGAGCTCCCCATATGATCTGTTTCCAAAAAGTAATAAGGACAAAAAAAGAGCAGAGGGTAAAAAGCTGAAATAATTATAGGCAACTACCGTGCAGCCTGAAAACAATAACATAAGAATATATGTTTAATTTGTCAAAATGCTTATAAGTGAATCCCACCTGATACATAAAACAAACAAACTTATGTTATTGTATTGAGAGGAAACAAGGTTTAGGCAAACATTTCATGAGTCATAAGGTTCTCAAAACTTCTTGGAACCATTATGGCTTTGCAAACACCAGTGAAGTCAATAGTCAACACATCCAGAAATTGCAAGGAAATGATATCTGATGAAATAAGAGACACCTCAATGATGATCTTTCAGCAATTTGTATGGGTCAATGATCTTTACAGTGGCAGGGTTCTCAAAACTTCTTGGAACAATTATGGCTTTGCAAACACCAGTGAAGTCAATAGTCAACACATCCAGAAATTGCAAGGGAATGATATCAGATGAAATAAGAGACACCTCAATGATGATCTTTCAGCAATTTGTATGGGTCAACGATCTTTACAGTGGCAGCTCTGATTCTCCAAGTGGTTAAACAAAAACCAAAACGCAAATATCAGAATTAAAACTGAAATAAACTCGGCAGTAAACATATATTTCACAATTTAAAAAAAAAATGAAAAAGTAAACTGAGAGAAAAGGAAGAAACAGTACCTGAATGCAACTTTGAATTCAAGGATTTTGGGTGTCTTCCTTCTTTTCTTTGTTCTCTTGATCTTAGTTGAAATAAATAAAACCCATATTTCACCAGTTTGATTCCGGGTCTTAAGGCTTTTCATTCAAGTAATCTTCTCTTTCAAAAAGAAAAAGTTGTTTTGAGGATTAAATATTAACGAGTTCTATTCTAGTCAAATTTATTATTTCAGTGTTTTGCTAAGGAGGTTGCTTAGACATTCTCGGCGTTCAAGTAATTTTCTTTTATTTTCGTACTACGATTTATTTATGAAAAAAAAAGAGACCAACACGGTTTAATATTTCAATCATACGCATAAGCATGTGACAATTTTTTTTTTTCGGTAACAAGAACAAAAGGGACACGAAGTGTTAAAAACTGGCAGGAGCTAAGGCTCCCGTAATGAGCCCGTTATCGTTCTGAAGAAACGGGGAGATCGCAGCAGGGGGATTATCATAACAGAAAGCCCCACAGGAACCGTATAGCCATTCCGGGCAAGAGCATCAGCCACTCCGTTGGCTTCTCGGTGAACAAGGGATATATCGACCGTCCAATCTCTTTGAAGCAGATCACGGATTCTCCGAACCAGCATCGGCTCATTATCGTGGAATTGGATCTTATGCAGTCGTATAGCTTCAGCATTATCCATTTCCGCTATGATATGTCTTACTTCATAATTCCAGGCTAAATGGAGGGCGTCGAGAAGAGCCCACAGTTCAGCATGAAGAACCGAACAACGCCCAATGTTGCGACTGTAACCCACGATCCAATCACCATTATGATTTCGAATTAAACCACCTCCAGCAGATTCCTTTGAAGACGGATTAACCGCTCCATCCGAGTTGAGCTTAAACACATCAGTCTCGGGAGGACCCCAAGCACTAGTTCTGCTTTGGCGAGGAAGCGAATTTACATGCCTCCAAGATCTACTAAAAATCGAGCGCGCCCAGGCTTGCACAGTCTGAATGATTGCCATTGACGATCAACTTTCGCCATTAAAGGTAATGTTGCACCGGTTTTTCCAAAGCTGTCAAAGCATGATTCCGAACAAATGCTTCCAACAGTAGATATTTCCATTGGTTCATGCCGCCACTGCATGTGACATTTTTAATCCGAGGAGCCAAATCATTCACTTGGATAACTGTTAGTGCCACCATATGGCTGTTTGGGAATAGCCATTTGAACTCACCCTAGGAAAATTATATATAGAAAAGACTCTTCTGAGTATAATCACGGATTAATGTGAGAAAAGTAGTCAGATTCAGGGAGTAAATAAAACGTTATCCCCATAATTTGTATTGAAACTTATATTTTCCTCCAAATTGTCATCTGAAGTATCAGTTTCCAAATTGATGAACTTCGGTTACACAGTTTAATACCTAAATTTATCTTTTCCAACATTAGCTGAATGTATCAAAATGTGTGACCAACTTAAATTTAGATATCAAAACATCTGACAGAAAATAAGTTCATATTAAACAAAAATTATCGGTACTAATTTGAATTATGAAACTAAATTCATGCACCAAATAGTATATTAACCACTTTTTAAAGTCAAGTTGAATTCAATCTGTTTATCTTTAAAATTTTAACAACCCAAATTTTCCTCAAGTCCTGGCCTAGTTTCTTTTCATTTTCTTTTAACTGAAATATTGTTATTGCTAAAGCTTATATAATCCATACATTCTTCAAAAACATGCAACCTACAGGCTACAAGCATGTTGTTTGAAACAGCAGTCCAGCAAAAGTACGCTTACTCAACTGAGCTTTGTACATAAAAGTCCCTATATAAATATGCATACGCAGAAAAACATATGCTTTTAACTGGATAAATTCATCTGTGAAAACAGACCTCAATTGTTCCTAAATCAATCGACCGATATCATGGCTTGACAAGGGTGAGATACATCACTCAATTCCTTGAGTCTGTTTTGGTGGTAACAAGCGTCGCCAAGCAGATGGCATAAAACCTCGAGCAACAAGGTAGATTATAAAAGCAATATATGCGCCGGTAAACGCAAACACTATGCTTGTGAACATTACACCAGTGACTTCTTCGGAGAAAAAGTCGAGAAGAAGATACCCGTTGATCACCATCACCAGCACAGCCACGAGCCATGCAACCGTCTGCAATGGACACAGAAAAAGTTGTGTAACTGCATAATCAAAAACAGTGGCATAATATACATGATGGAAGTGAAAGTCAGGCATCAGTAAATGAGCTATAATATGAATTTCCACATGTTAAAATACCCGCTAATCCACATATTGCTACCACAATAATCTCTCTGAATTTCCTATAACAGTAACCCTTATCCCTCCAAGTCGGCAGAAGAGACGGAACAAAAACTCTTCTAAATCTTAGAAATGTAAACATCGGAAGCTCAAGAATAGGGAATATAAACCAGCCGATAGACACAAGAATTCTTTTAGACAACAATAGTTGTATGTATTCCCCTGCCAGAAAAGAGTTTAGGATTTTCTAACTACTATCACGTTGTCACACCATTATCAGTAAATTAATCACATTTTTCACAATAGAGAAGCAATGAGCTGTTCTGAAATAAGGGCTAATTACGACCTCTAGATCAGAAAGACAAACCGCCTCTTATCAAAATTAACCGATTAAAATAGTATTAACTAAATCACTTTAGGCTGCATGTATACAAATGAATTCAAATCAAACTATTTCATTGTAAAAAATATAGAATGTCATTCTTCATGATTAAGTCTCATCACCGGCTAGTCAAGTACACTAGAACTCCCTTAGGCAAGAAAGTTGGTATCTCAGCAAGGCACAAAATAAGGGGATTAGCAGCATACCTTGAGCACAGAGCCAATTTTGAAGGTACCCATGATTTGCTCCTTAGATACCAAACAAAGAAGTGGGATAAGAGCAAAGGGGATTTGAATAGATTGAAGCACATTAAGCCATTCATTTAATTCATCTAAAGCTGATTCAGAAGTATCGAAAATAAGAGCAACTATCATAGTAGGAACAATTGCAAAACTCCTAGTGATCAATGCTCTCATCCATTTTTTCAACCTCAAGTTCAAGAAACCTCCCATGATGAACTGCCCTGCATAAGTGCCAGTAATAGTGCTACTTTGTCCAGCTGCTAACAGCCCGATAGCCCAGATATATAAAATTGGGAATAATCCACCTCCAAATTTTTCTTGAAGATACTGCCCTGCATTCACAAGTCCAATACTATCGGCTACTTCTGTGCCATAAAATGCCTTGGCAAAAACAGTTGTGACAAACAGATTGATTATAAAGGAAATCAAAAGCGCTGCAGCAGACTCTATCGAGTAATAATTGAGAGCTTCTTGCACTCGGCCTTTCTTGCTTTGATCAATTTCCCGTGATTGCACGAGAGCAGAGTGCAAGAATACATTGTGAGGCATGATAATGCAGCCCACGATTCCCACCGCTTGTTTGATGGTTTTGGAGCCAAGTTTTGGAATCAGAATACCTGCGAAAACCAAACCATTTGATCATCACTCAACTGCAATACGGTATGAAAATGGAACTTATTAGTATCAAAGAAATTGCTACAGCCAACAATGGAACGGAGTGCCTCACCAAGAAGAAGTTCAGTGCCACTGGGTTTTGTTTGACCAAACATCCAAGCAAATGAGACCGCCATTATAGCAATGAGGACAGCAAAAAATGCTTCCAGCTTCCTCACTCCATAGTTTTCAAGAAACAAGAAGACAAAACTGGAACAATGTAAAGAGAGGAAAGTGGTTATACTGCACCAAGTTATGTTGATGTACAAGCAAGCTACTTCGGAAATGCAAGGAAATAAATTAATCAGGGTTTGACAGGAAAAAGAAAAGAAAAGAAAAAGTCACTTTCCTTGTTTGCTTAGACAAAATTGTTTTTTATATTAACTAAAAAAACTCGAAAATCTTCAAAATTCAGGGACATATACTATAAAAAATTTGAAAGAAGAAAATAATTCATCAAAATCAATAAGATACTGACCAATCACAAGCTGTAATAACAACACCAGCCCACAAAGGCAAAGCACCGTTAGTCAAAATCTTAAGAGCAATAGCACTTCCAATAACTTCCTGTATATCAGCTCCAATCAAAGCCAACTCCGTCATTACCCACAAAATAATCCTAGCCCAAGTCGGGTACTCTTCTCTACACAGCTCAGCCAAGTGCCTCCCCGTCGCCACACCAAGCCTAGCCGACAACAGCTGAACCAACAACCCAATAGCCGTAGCCCACATCAGCAGCCACAGCAAAGAGTAACCGGCTATAGCTCCGGCTTGAAGATCCCCTTCTAAATTCCCAGGATCCAAAAACGCAATCGACATCAAAAAACCGGGTCCGGTGAAAAGCCAGAGCTTTTTCCAGGAAAAAGGGGGGACACCCAGTGAGTCTTCATCTCCCGTTTCATTGACTCCTACGATGTGGACTTTTTCGCCTGACTCGTACGCCACATCCTGGTCGGATAATAACGGTTGCCGGTTGTCTTCTGGTGGCATATTCCGGTTTGCCGGCCTCCGACGAGGATTGCTTTTGCTTTGGAATTTAGTTTTAGCTACGAAAAAGAAGGAAAGGAAAGCTTGGGTTGAAGCAAAAGAAAGAAATGGATAACTACGTATCTTTCCCACTCTCTTTGCTCAATGTTACCGACTGTTGTCTTGTTTTTTTCATTTCCATATTTTTTATTAGTAATTTATAGTAAAAAGAATAATCTCTTCATCACGTGACGATCCTATGCCATGTGAGATTTATTTTGATTATTATATTTTACGTTTTATTATATAAATTAAAAATATTTAATTTGTTATCCTAGTTTTCAATCATTAGATATAAGATTATTATATAAATTGACATATGATTTGATAACTTTTTAAATTGATTTATTAATTCTTTTATCTCAAATTAGAATCTAATTTGAAAATAATTTTTATATTGATACTTAAACTCTTTCAAAATATATATATGAATAAATGAATAAATTATAGTTTTCCCATTTTACAATAATTTTTATATTGATACTTAAACTCTATCAATATATATATATATTGATACATAAAAAAACAATAATAGGTCAATTTCATAATGTCATTCCAGTAATATAACAACCTCCAAATGAGGCAAACTCTAAAATTATATTATAAACATAAAGAAATGAATAAATTATAATTTTCCGATTTTACAATCTTATTTTTGTGA